GAATCCATGATAGCGATAGATATTATCAAGAAAAAGCCTAGCCGTTTCTTCACTTGTGATAGATTTTATACATGGTACAAAATGTGCCATTTTGGTAAAATAATCTACTATCACAAATATAAAATCATATGAATTTGAAACTAAAAGATCCATAATAAAATCCATAGAAATATAAGACCATGGTTATTTTGGAATAAATAATAGTTGAAGAAGTCTATAAGGTTGATGATGATGAATTTTTTATCTTAAATAAATATCACATGATTATACAAAGTCTTTAACTACCTTCTTCATTTGAGACCACTAAAAATTTTTGGAACATTAGTTCTAAAGTCTTATTATATCCAAAATACCTACATATTAGAAAGTCATGACAAGCTTGAAGAACATGTAATTGTGCTTTGCCTTCTAAAATATATAATTTTTCTTCAAAATAGAATAGATTATTTTTGAACTTTAACTTAAAAGTATTATGAGATTTAGAAGAATTATTCTTGATATCATAAACAAGAGGATTAAATGACATACTTGATTGAATTTGCTTGAAAATAGTTGAATCAATAGTTAATGTTGATTTTATTACTCAAAGATGAAAATACTCTGGATTCAAGAGAATCATTCTTTACTAATCAAAAGCTATTTTTTTTTCTTTTGGTATAAGATAAGAATGTCTAAAAACGGTGTTTGACAAACCTTATTATTTTTCAAATCAATAAGTGATCTTGAAATCAAATCTTAATAAAAACATACTTGAATAGGTTTATCAACAATTCAAAATTCATATCAATACAAAATACTTGAAGTTCTTGTGATCTGTATATATTGTAATTGGACTTGAGACCCCTTCTAAATAATAATGATATTCTTGAAATGAATCTATAATTGGAAGAAGCTCTTTGTTATAGATATCATAGTTAATCTTGACCATTGAAAATTTCCTATAGTGAAAAGTTATCAGTTAGAACTTATCATTAGCTCCCATTTGTGACAAAACAATACACATAGAAAAGATTGATGTATTTGTTTTCTTAAAAAATACCTTGAAAAATTTGACATGATAGAATATTGATATAAAAATAGATGTTATCTTTGAAGGCTTCAAATGATGTTTTAGCTTCTTTCCTCTATTCAAGTTTATTTTTACATATCATATATGTAATAAAATCCATAACTTGAAAAAAACTCTTAATAAAGATCTTGTAATAATTGGAAAATTTCAAAAAGCATTGCATATTTCTTATTATTCTTAAAATCTTCCAATTTATGATAGTTTGGATCTTCTTTGGATGCATAATTAGAACTTTATTGGAAATGATGTATCTTAGAAAATCAACTTGAGAAGTGTGGAATACATACTTATTCATCTTGGCATATAATCTTGCATCTCTAAGTTTTTCTAATACACAACAAACCTGAAGCTTATGTTCTTCTATATTCTTAGAGTAGATTAGAATGTTGTCTAAATAACAGATAACAAAATCATCAAGAAAATCACAAAAATGACATTTATAAGATGTTGAAAAATAACTAGTATGTTTATAAGTCCAAAAAGCATGAAATTATATTCAAAATGTCTATACCTAGTTCAAAAAGCAGTCTTCTATTCAACTCCTTTGATGCAGATTAGCTTGTATACTCCTCATAGATCTATTTTTTTATAGATCTTTAGTTCATAGAATTAATCAAGAAGTTTTGAAATCAAAGCTAAGAGATACTTATTTTAAATGGTGATCTTGTTAAGTCCTTGATACTCTATACACATCTACAAAGATCCATTGTTTTTCTTCATAAATAAAAACATATATAGCAAAAGATAACTCTTCTTTTGTAATATGCATGAAAGCTCTTGCACTTACTAATAAGAGTTAAGATGTTTTAGAATTATGTATTTCTACTTGACTAATAATATTTTTGATTGAACTATCAAAAATATTAAAATTAGAAGAAATTCAATCTATTTGATGGTTATATTTTTTTAACTACAATAATTCTAAAATAATTGGATTGGTGGTAGATCTTATCACATTAAATATTACTATGCTATTATGATCTTTAACTACTACATTTAATGGAACAATCTCATAAATAATATTTCTAGAAAATAACAAATGACCATCTATGACTTCTATATGTATGGATTTAGTTTTCTTAATTAAAAATATTTCTTATTTTTTAACAAAGTCTTTATATATAAAATAGAATGAGGCTCTTAAATCTAATAATGCAAAGACTTTGTGATTTTTAGGTCTTAAACACACATCTATTATAAAACAAGATGAAAGATGTGAAGAAAAAATAAGACCTTTACTAGGTGTTGTACATGATTCTAGCCACATAGTCTATATTACAGTTTAAGAAACTTGTTTCTAATATATTATCTTTCTTTGGCAATTGTGCTCCTCTTTTTGTGATTGTATTATTTTTTTAGAGAATGTTAATTAGTATGCTTAGCTTTTCTACAATATAAGTATAAACCTTATTGATGACGTCAAATATTTTTATCTTCTATGAGGAATTTAAAACATACTATATAAATTTCCATTGGTTCCAGTGTTCATGAATAAATTTCTTAAAACTTAGGAGTTGCCATCATTACTTGACTTATTCTTCTTCAACCAAGTCTTTATTCTTGATGCCTTTCAAATAATCAATTGTCACATAGAATAGCTTGAGTAATAGATTATTTCAAAGATTTTATTTATATCATTAACAATAACAAATCTTTGACGTTATTCTTCAATCTGTATCAAAATTAATGGATAAGTGCATTCCAATCCACATTGTAAGTAAGGTTTTGGAATTTAGTAGCATATATAGTGGTTGATCATGATTTTATTGTAAAAATAAAAGCTTGATTTCTACTTTCTTTTCTCAATTATTTTATCCAAATGTGGATGTAAAAAGTTTTAGGAATGAATTCAAATCATAAACAAGTCATGAGTATTTTTCTATCAAAAGTGCAAACCAAGAGAAAGCACTTCTGTATAGAAGTGTACTTATAAATCCAACTTGAGTAAATCCATCAGGATATTGGAAGAGATGCAATCTTAGATAGAACTTGATTTGTTGCAAAAATCTTTAAAATTTTGATCTTGCTCTATCAAACTTTTTAAGCATATTAATCCTTATCCTCATTGTACTTGTAGAAGCAAAACTTTTTGGATTTGGTTGTGAGATTGATTTACTTATTTCTTTCAATTATATAACTTCTTGACATAGACTCTGAATTTTTTCCATAGGTATATGATTAGTGTTTAGGGTCCACCTATGTGTATTGATAAGTTCATGAAGATTTGCAATAGTTGCAAATTTATTCTCACTTCTACAAAGAGTAGTATCCATGATTTTTTCTTTTATTTTAAATAACTTAACAAATCCAGAAATTAAATTAGAAGATGATAATCTGCAACCTCTAATATCAAATGAAAATTTTTACAAAGAAAGATAATTTGTTCTCTTTAAAGAAAAAAATCAATAATAGAAAATTAAATAATTTATTTAAAGATGGATAATCTGCAACCTTCAAAATATAACAACAGAAGTGAGGTAATCTACTCACTTCTAAAACAAGAGAAGAACAATGAATTAGCACTTTTGTCAAATTTTCAAGGGCATGAATCTTAAAGAAAGAAAATCTCAATATATTCTTTTGTCACTCAAAAAGACTACAAAATCACTCAAAGATGATACTATATTGCCAAAGACAAGAAGACTAAAAAGACTTGAAATAAGACTAAGGACTGAAAAGACATTAACAAGAGTGAAAAAGACTTTATTCTTGCCTCAAAAAATACTTTCTAATGTGGCAATATTCTATAAGACCTCCAACATGTGTTGACTTTGCTAGACATATGATTTAACTTGCAAGGCAAGTTATCTATATGTGTACCATATAATTAGCTTCTTCCACAAGCTACTAATATGTGTGTCATGTAACTAATTTATTGATCAAGTTTCTAACCTACCAATTAACTACAAACATATGTAAAGTCAAAGTAGCATTTGTAAAGCTTTTAGGAAGCTTTTTTAGAAGATATTATGAAATAACTCTATTTTTATCTACTTCTACTTAATCATTTAGGTAATTATTAGAATAAATATGATGTCCGTGATAGCATGCATGGTATTGTTGTGGTTTGACATTGATAGCTCGATGAATATGCATAGAAGGATCGTCTTTATTGGCGTCATTTCTCAATGGATAATTTTGGATTTGATGATTGGTTTTGATATAGAGCTTGCAAAGAATAGAAAGATTTGAATAGTTAACAACCTATATCAGATTCTTGGTCAACATACCTTCAAGTTCAATTTTTGTCTCCTACTCTTGGCTAGTATCAAGTATGATGCAGAACCTTGGTTCATTGAATAGACAGTTTTTAGTGTCCATTTCAATGACTTTTCCTAGAGACCAAATAATTTCAGTTGTAACAGCTTTGAATTGCCATGACAAGTTTTTGAGTGATATCTAGGTAGGAATCAACATACATTTCCTGCTTTTAAAGTCGAAATTTAGTATCCAATGCTGAAAGATGCACATGAGGCCATTGTCTCCATATGGTGTAAGCAAGAGAACTTGCTGTACAATTGTAGGGTTTGGAGCTTGAAGGCAGAAGAAGCCTTGCCCAATCTAGTTGCTGGCAATGAGTCCTCCATTTGATAATAAATAGAGTATTGAGTCTCTCTAACCATGTCTTGAATGTGACATTTGGTTTACCACCAATGAAACTTGCAACTATGACATATTCTTGGACATATCTTTCCTCTGCTACAACAATCTGCTTAGAAATATGAATATGTTTGTTTTGTGTTTTGATAAAACTGGAACCATACAGCTATCAACATGCCGATAATTCGCCTAAAAAGACGTTTTCCCTTCTGGACAAAATCTAGCAGGTGTATAAATGGGCACCAGATCAGTCGAAGCCTATGAATCAGGTAGAGGAGCGTGTTAGGTTTACTGCAATGTCACCTCATAATCCAAGAAAAGTTCTTCAGATTTCTAGCCAGGGTGTTCTGGTATCTGACCATGATCCTCCAGTTCATGTCACCAAGGCGAGGCAAATCCCTGCTGTCGAAGGAGCCCTAGGATAAAAAAAGCGTTGACCTTCGAAGCTCGTGCACGACAAGTGCAGAATAGTGCTACCCCGCGTTGACGTTGTTGTTGTTGTTGTCAAGATAGGCTGAGTCTTAGCAACGCATTCATAAAGACAGACGAATGCATGATGTCTCTGCACAAGTGATCTCTGGTGTCTTTGAGGTCACCGGTGCCAGCATCAACGTCGGTGTACATGGTAGCTTGAAACCTCAGAAATGTATTTGGTTGTTCGAGGACAGATTTAAAGCCCCTGGAAACCCCAGTCCACGATATCATCAGGTTTGGTTCCGACTCCGTTCCTGGGGCGTTGCTACGCAGCGAACTGTATTCAAGTAGGTTGTGGCAATATTTTAAATGCGCAGTCAGTTGTGTAATCTGTTACGCAACTTGAAGATTGAGAATCTCGATTAGCAACCGGTCGATCGTCGCATTAGTTCCGCCGTTGTCATAGTGGTGCAACGCTCTATGGCGTCGGCCTGGTACGTTCGCCTCTGCGCTGTGGTGATAATATTGAGCTTGGACTCCTTTGTGTCTGCTTCGAAGTATGATAAGGTCCATCATAACTCGGGGACGCATCATGTGCCCGATGGCGGCTTACGGGACAATTACTACCACCGAAGCTGTCCCCACGTCGAGAAGATTATCTTCAAAGAAATTTCCAAGTGTTTCAAAGCAGACAAGAAGATTGCACCTGGCATCCTACGCATGTCATTTCACGACTGCTTTGTCCGGGTAACTAGACCTTCAGTTTTGTTGACTCTGAGTTGTTAGCGCAGTGCTGTTAGTATTTCGTATTTCCCAACTTTCCTAATATCATTTGAGTACACGGAATATTCTCGAACTGTGCATTCAACATATTCAAAACGACTGCACTTGATTCCTCCAGTGCTTGATAGCTGCTTCTATTATGATCTCTTCAGGGGTGCGACTGCTCCTTGCTTCTGAAGGGGAATAACACGGAGCGGTCGTCTCGTAGCAACGCTAACTTGCACGGGTTTGAAGCGCTGAACGCTGCGAAGGATGCTGTCGAGAAGGCCTGTCCAGGAGTTGTGTCGTGTTCTGATGTCCTGCAATACGCTACTCGTGACGTAGTCATACTGGTATGTTTGATCACTTTTGAGATATAAAAAGCGACCTCTCACTCGTCAATGTGATGCTCTTCTATTTCTATCTGAAACTTCAATCTGAAAAACAGATGGATATTGCTTGAGTAGGCTGGCGGCTTCGGATGGAACGTGCCTGGTGGCCGCAGAGATGGGACTGTCTCCAAGGTGGAGGATGTAAACTTAACTAATTTGCCCTCTCCACGCGCGAACGCTACCAACCTAATCCAACTGTTCGAGAGCAAGGGAATGACTCTTGCTCAAATGGTGGTCCTATCAGGTATGTGGATCTTCACTCACATTCAGTTCGCGCTTATGATTCAAGTTGAGTACAGTATCAAAGCGAACTAGAAATTACTTGAATCTGACCTTTTATTTTGTTTTTAGGGGCTCACACGATCGGCAAAGCCACCTGCATCACATTCGACAATCGCCTCCACTCGGATATCCCCGAACCGTATGCCGACCCTTATTCCCCGAGTTTCAAGTTGTACTTGAAGTCGCAGTGCCCTAATCCGAATATGTTTGTCCGTGTGAACTTGGATTCCACTCCAGAAAAATTTGATGGACGGTATTTCCATGATCTCGTTCACCATCGAGGTCTGTTGACCTCCGATCAGACTCTGATGAGCGACTCCCGCACTAGACACTGCGTTTACAAGAACAGGGACGACGGCGTATTCAAGAAGAATTTTGCTGAAGCCATGGTAGCCATGAGCAAGATTGGGGTGCTCACTGGGAAGGATGGCGAAATCCGGAGACGTATGGAAGTGGTGAACAGCAAGTAAGTTGAATCACTGCCGAACCAGCTGTTTCTGCTTGTCCCGGCGACGAAGGTAGTCAGCATGCAAGATCCTTTCACCGGAGGCTGGATCCAAAATATAATGGGCGTCGAAGGCGGTTTGTTTTCTGGGTTCGTGCAGATTGAGGGGACCAGTACATGAGAAGCATTGCCCTTGAGTTGACCAATAATGAAGTAGAGGGTGCGGAAGTGGGGCTCTAATTTCAACGACCAAGAATGGTCAAGAAATGAGAATTGCACTTGATCATTCTTGGTCACTATTTCTTCACATTTCATGTAGTATTGCATTCTCTCGTCAGATGCAAGTCATTTGATTATATATTATCATTCATTATCATGTATGCACGAAATAGGTGATTGTAGGACCTGTTTCTGCTCAGGGGAAAGGTCAATAAAGTGACCTATGAGGTCGTATTAACTTGTATCTTCATGTTGACCCTGGAACACTCACGATTGCAATATTCTCCAAATATTCATAACGTTGTAGAACCTCCAGGAAGAGTCATTTGCAAATTGTCACGAATGGTTCTGTGTGCTTCAAGTATCCATTAGAAGCCATGTTCATGCAACCGGGATACTTACCATAGCACTTCCACCTATCCTTGTCGACAGGGTATCTCAGGCAATGGCTGTAAATTGTTCTAATTGCTTTGTTGTATTAACGTAAATGAATAGTAAAGCAGCGTCCCAGTTGTCAATACAGAGCAGAGATGTCTTACGTGAAAGACAGTTCAACTTATTGTTATAGGCGACGGTGACATTTCTTGTGAATTAGTGGAAAATGATTTTTGTGCCTGCAGAAAAAAATTCCACGAAATTTGGGGAGAAAACACTCCAGAGTAGATGAGTCACAGACCATGCAGTGGAAAGTTCGGAATTAACAACAATGCTACTCATTACATTCTGTCAATGCCTCAAGTGATTTTAACCATACCCATCGCAGTCGCAGCATTTATGACAGTAATTTGGGGTAGAATGTCGCTTTCAGGCAGTATTTTGCCAAACTATTATTGCAGTACCTACTTGTAATGGAGTTCACTTTCACAGGAGCCTAACTGATAGGTACCCGTGATCCTAAAGTGTGTGATTACAACTTGGATATATTTCTGAAAAGCAGGCCAAAACAAAGCCATTACCACAGTTGAATATCTAACTATTTTCACAAATAACGAAGGAAAAAGTACCCAGCTCAGAAACAGAGCGCACACAGCACTACCTGATGTGGGTAATTGAACTATAAATAGGAAAAGGAAAATGATGTGAAGAATAAATAGAAAGTCACCGAAATGGCGCTCTGGAACTTGAAAGTTCAGTAGAAGAAGGTGTTACAGCATCGCCGTTTTGGCTATCGTTGCCCATCGAAAACACGTATCGTTCGGTGCGGACTCCTAATTTGACGCTTGGACTTCGTTGAGGATAAGCGGCAGGACGAAAGGGTTTCATGATGGGACCAGAATTGCTGATGAGGTTCTCTGAAATCGGAAATGAGAGTCGCTTTTTTGCAGAGCCCCACGATCCATCTTTCTCCAGGGTCCCAGGCCGCTGCTTAGGTTGACTATGCGAGCGCACTTTGGCTCTTGCTGATTGTGTGGCTTGCATATAGTTTGGAACAGAGGGACAGCTTGCTAAGCTCTCATCATCGCGTATGGATCCTGCATGGCTGTAGCAAGTGCCAAAGCGAAAGGCAGAAGGAGAAGACCTTGCTGTGGTTGAAACAGCGCTTCCCCCTTCTTCCAACTCTTCCCTCCTGATAAGGTTGCGAGGACTGGCAGATCGGATTAGGGAAGGTGTTGCCTTGTGGCCTGAGGGTGGAGTTGCTGGGGGTTGCAGCGCACCCTGGCTTGTTGTTCTTTGCATGGTACTCGGGCTAAAATGGTTGTGGCCGTTAGAGGTAAACATGGATGGTCCATTTGATGAGTAACTTTCACTTCTAATGGCTCCGTTTTGTGCCGAATGAAGTCTTTGCTTGTTGTATATGCTGTGTGGTGTGGGAAGACGTGGATCAGCAGCTTCGTGTTTCTTCTGAACGGTGTTGAGGTCTGCAGTTTTGACAGGGTGGCCCTCAAAAACATCCTTTGGAGCAGAGATGTCGAATGTGCGATTTCGCCATGGTCGCGCTGCCATCCATCTTTCCAACCAGCACCAACCCCAGTGGAGCTTGTCGGGCTCGCAATCTATGTGGAGCTGTGATGTTTGATTGGGGGCCGACTTCCACAACTGTCAGTTATAAATCGGTAAGAAATGAATCCTCCAGCTTAAAAAGCCCGAAGAGCATGCCTGATTCTGCCAGCTAAGAAGTGAACTGTTCAAGGTTGACTGAACAATATCAACGAGCAGAGATAATTTATAGTAACATACACAAATACAATCGTAACTGAGCGAATGAATCTAACACAAACCTGATGGGAGAAAGCATAAGCCAAAGCTCTTTCTCTCTTCATGGCGGCCTCCTGCTTGTTCAGGATTTTCACTTTTTCTGCATGTATTGTTTGAGTGCTATCATTCCAACCTCCGTCCTGCCATTACGTCCTCAAGTGCTTATCAAATCTATCTCAGTTTATCCAATGTAAATTTGCAATATTAGTAAAAACAAGTTTATTAGTTGATGGTTCTACAGATCATGTACAAAGATGGTGATTCTGTAAGGAGAAAACATGATATAACCTGTTCAATATCTTAGCTGAATCCCTGCAAGAATGTACTTTTTTGAGATAGAATAGAGCGTAAGAACTGAGGCAAAATTCGTCTACATGCCGAATTTTTCAAACTGCTGCAGAGGCAAAGGGATTTGTAGGCAATGACACACATACCAACGATTTCCTTGGACGAGATTCCAGCTGCCTCCGTTCCCACAACTGCCTTTGCACAGCTTGCCCTTCCTCGGACATACGTACTCGTCTAGCCCGAACCCGAGCTTGAACCCTGACCAGCGCTTGCATGCAACGTAGTGTGATAGTAGCTTGTCGACGTACAGTGTGGCCTCGAACCAAGGCTTGTAATCGTACGAGACCTTTAAGCGCACGCAATGCTCGCCGAGCCTATGCAAGGCAACATGGGCAACGTTGACATTCTATTCCATCCACGAAGATCAGTGCACAGAGAAATGAACTTATGTTATCTTTGTTGGAAGCTTTCGCAATTCAAATTGACTCTGGCAGCGTCTGAGACAAATTGATGTATCTTTGAGGGAGTCGAATCTATTAATCCCAGAGCTCCCTCTGAAAGTATTCGGATGCTTGATAATTGGATAAAGACAAGAGTAGTATTGTGTACCAGATATGCTCGAAACGCTGTCTGGATTTTGATGGCTGCCCAAACATCTGGAGATGTGATTTTCGAAAGGGCAGTTAACGAGCAAACTGTAGTGCTTGCTTTGCGGCTGGTAAAAATGGCTGGATCAGATGGTTTTTCTGAAATTTGTTTTCGGTTCTCTTCTTTCTTTTCTGCTGACTGTTCTTTGAAGTCTACTGTTGCAGACGGTTGATATGATGACTTTCCAAAGCTCCATCTCTTCTTGTTTTTTGACTTGGCCTGTCGCACCATGAATGCATCAGTAACCCACGAAACTAACTTAAAACCAGTTTCCAGATCTACAAGTCATAAGTGCACTCCTTAGCAGCCATGAGACATTGAGGAGCAAGTCTTTGCTTTAGTTACCTCAATGGGTGGAAGGTCACCAACAAGGTCTAGATCTCTGGGAGCGGTTTTAACATTGTCTTTGGATGGGGATCGAAATGCTTTTTTGACAGTACTAAACCACGTGCTTCTCTTCCCCATGCTGTACTATCAATCTTCAAGGCCAATATGAAGTGTTAAAGGCATATTAGAAAAACTATCAGCGTGAATGTCACCTTAAGTAGATACAATGGCTTGAAGTGTGAATTCCACAGTGAACGCCCAATGTTCAAACACTGAACAGGCCTGACCGGATCAAAAAATACCCTTCTAATTGCTGACGTCAGTGATTTCTTTGAAACTGATTGCATGTTCCTTGGCATTGTAGACGGTATGTGTCACATTTCAAATAACCTAGTGAATTGTCTAACTAGGCCATGTGATTTTACAGCAGAAAATAAAAACAAAATTGAACAAGTGCAGCGTTCGCATATGCAGCCGTGCAATACCAAAGATTTACCTGCAGAAGGATCAAAGTGATAAATAAAAACGCCTGCCAAGGAACACGATGACAGCTCTTTTAAGATATCTTCGCCGAAAACATTTGGCACCTCCTTTGGAAAAAGAAACGAACTAGATCCAACGCACTCTGTCAGATACTGTGCTCAGACTTGAAGTACGGCTTCGGCTATGGCGGCACGGCCTAGGCGAGTCGAGCAAACTTGCCGTGTCTCATGTTGGAGAAATGGAAGTTTGTGAAACGTTATTAGAAAGGCGTCACTTTTATCCTTGCGATGTCAAGACTGGTATGGCAGAACAGCAAGGAGAAAGAATGTAGCTCAACAGCTGAATCCAAGTACTGCTTGAAAAATGAGCTTGAACCAATCCATGTACGCCGAAGTCGCGAGTGTAAGAGATGGCGCGCGCTGAGGCTTACTAACGAACCTGATACTTAACTTCGTTTAGTGAAGTTTGCCGCTCTGGAATCGGAGAACATCAGAGGATCACAATCATCTGGGTAACTGAGATAGCCCACATTGTCGACAACCTGGCACTCTCTTTTTAAGTTCATTCCTCACATCTCAGAAGCGAAACCTGGTGCTTTCACTCTGCTGCACATACGCAGACTTGAGGTCTGACTGTGGCAGATGAGTACAGAGGGAAGCGACACGGTGCAGAGCACATGACACCGACAACTAAGGCTGCTATACGAAAAAACACTTGAACCCCCTCTATCGGCATCCCCTCCCCAGTTAACCAGGAAAAAAAGAAAAAAAAAAAAAAAGGAGGGGGGGGGGGGTATTGAAGCAACTAAAACTAGTCTCGCCTTCCACTGCAAGAATCTCACTCTTCACCAATAATTGAAAACACAGACATCATCAGTAGACTGCCCACCCCAACACGCCTTCGACCACTCGACCCGGATTCCCCCGGGACAAGGGAATTGATTCCCGCATTACAGATGGAGCCGCTCATGAGTACCACCCAACTGCAAAACCAAGACGAAGTACATGCACGTGTACAGGGTACATGTATCTATTTCTCAAGGTGTAGAACAAAAAATCCAACTTAAAACTGACTGGATTAGAACGCGCACAACGCTAAAACAAAAGCTTGGTAAAGAACGGAGGAGGGTCATATCATCACCCACGTGATAAGAATACCCAACTCGTCAGACTCTGAGGTTTTCGCATTGAAGGAGGAAAGAAACACCCTTGCAGTACAAAAAGCGGAATCAAGAGACTCGGAAGGAAAAAACCGCGCTAATGAAGCAGCTGCAGCTGCGATGTAAAATTGCGTCTACCGAGGAATGGGAAAAGCGAGAGCGCCCAAGGGTGAGGGCATAATAAGCAATACATACAGCGCAGTTAGTAAAGGAGATGAGCGACGTCGAATACTACGGCACCGCGGTCTACAACGCATCGATCGATCGATCGATGAATAGCACGGCCGTTGGATAATGAACGAGAGAGCTGGATCTCATCGCTCATCGCGTCCGAAGCCGCGAAGCTCGACTTCGCGTGACCCAACCCGTGGCCAATGGATGAATGAAAAAACTATTGATGAATGACTTGACATTTCACGAATGAAGCTTTTGTAGATGAATGTTGGCGACGAATGCCCGATCGGCATTTCTGTCCATGTGAGTCTTAATTTCGTGGATTTCAGTTTGGAGTTGGCGTTGAAAAATATTCTTAATAAAAACATAGTAATTCTTAATTGATTATTAATAGATTAAAACACATGGTAATTCTTTATAGATTCTTAATAGATTAATTCTTAATAGATTATTTTGATATGCATGTCCATGCTTACAAAAAAATCACATTGAAGAGGAACACAAACACAGTAATACACACAAACTTTTAAAACCACATTGGTTACAATTTGATTTTTTTTAATTTCATGAAAATGTTTAAGTATTATTTGATAATTTTGAATTTTCTATTCAAAAAAAATATTTTTTTGTTTATTTTCATTACTTTACTAGATAAATTAAATGAATTGTGTATGATTTGCAGTTATCACAGCTTATACACACATACATGCAATTTATTAAAAGTAAATATTTTTTTTTACAGATAACCATTTGTATTGTTGTACATCTAACCTTTATACATAGAGCTCCGCTTCTCCATCAAAGCTCTGCATCCAGCAGTCCAGGAATGGGGACATTCCATACTGTAATGGTTGTAGAAGCTTCTTCTTCTTCCACACATCATAGTCCTTATGCCACCACCCTTGGCACCAGATTCTGTGCATAATCTGTTATTGTGTGGGCATACCTTTGGTCTGGCTAGGTGGGTCTTATGGGCCCAAAGGGTATTTATTCCATTGATACATCCTCACTTTTAGGTGATTTATCACTGAAGTGAGTACAATCCCTAAAGCATAAAAAGAAGAAAAAAATTAAAAAAATAGTGGATACATCATCAAATTTTTCTAGAATATTAATTGAATTTGATATGCTAAATGAGGAAAATAGCTTGTTGAGACAAACAAATAATCTCTTCCTGTCTCTTCCTCCATTACAAACACCAATATGTAAAAGAATAGTAACAAAGTAGATTAAATTACTCATATCATATCTTGCATTTTTTTTTTTATATACATAGTGAATTTATTATTATTATTATTATTTTTAATGTTTTATTCACAATTCAACATAAGCACTTGGATAGACATTGCCCACGTTATGACTTAAGGGTGTAGACAGTGCCCACCACTTGCTCCACTGCCCATCTAATTATTGAGGGACGAGCCATCCTTACTGGTGCCAAGTCACCCCGGGAGTGGCCACCTTGGCGGGGACACGCAGGCACTCTGGGGATTGGCGCCAAATGACATGGGATCGAGGTGGACACCCTCCCTTCCTTTCCCTCCTATTTCTTTCCCTGTGCTTTGTGTCCTCAGTCTCCCTTCAGCTTTAAAGCATTGGCTCAAAGGCTGGGTTGGGCAGGGATGGGGCCCAAAGTGGGGTTTGGGTGATGGGGAATGGCACTGGCACCCGTGCATTTATTGCCATTCGGAATCGTGCATGATTGATGGCACCCACTCACTCATCAATTAGAAAACCCTTCCTTGCCAAGGGAGGGAGGCTTTCTTACAATATAGAAAAAGGGCCGTTCAGTCCCATCCCATCTCACCTTGGAATCAAATATGAATACATGTGGGGGTATAAAATAAACCTTTGTAGTCCCTCTTAATAAACTAGAAAAAAAAAAAAAAAAAAAAAAATGTTAATTACCCCATTTCTGAAAACATTCAGAGTAGTAGTTCTGTGCTTAAAATGTTATATGTTTTTTTTTTCTTTGTTTATGTTTGTATATTTGTATGTTTGTTGTTTACTTGGTTATCAAATTACATATCAAAATTAATTAATTAATTAATTAATTAATTAATTATATATTAATAGTCAATTTATTTTTTATCTTTTGCTTTTAAAATCTCTATATTTCATTACTCAATCAAATTATAATTAGTATATCTAAATAATTTAGAAGTAAAAAAAGTTGGTAATTGAATAATACTTTGCAAAAAAAAAAAAAAAAAAAAAAATCTCATTTTTTAAAGGACATCATTCTAGATAGAATTCTAAGAAGACAATATAAACTTATGTCATAAAAACACACAAAAAAAAAAAAAAAAAAAAAAAAAAAGGAAAAAAAAAAAAAAAAGAGATAGATACAAGATAGGATAGGAATTAAATTGAATATTGGCAATTACAAAAAAACTTGAGAGTCTTGAAACAAGATTGAAATATAAGAAAGATTTTAACAAGAGAGATAATGACTATATTCTTGATTCTATATATACTATTTATCAAGAAAGTTTTGTGAAAATTGCCTAAAAACCATGAAGTTTATGGCCTAAGCATCAAATTGTATGTTGCTTCCAACATGACTTCCCAAAGGTAAGAAATGTATAAGATAATTTTTAATAGCTATATGGCATATTTATAAGAGTTTAAATATAAAATTTGTATCTAACAAACTTCTTTGAACTTTTTTAGAGAAGATGTTAGCTTATCTCATACATCTTTATTTATTTAGGTAATATAAGTATTTATAATATTAATTTTGATTTAACTATTGAGTTTAGTTAATTTTTTAAAATAAAATTTGATATAAAAAATTACATAAGTAAGAGTTTTAAAAATTATGCTAATCTTCAAAAATTGTTAATATATATTTAAAATATTTTTATAATAAAAAATGACTTTATTTTGATTATAAATCTAATCTTGTAGTTTTATAAAGTAAAAAAAAAATACATAATCATTATTTTAACTACTTAAATTATATAAATAAAAAATATAATATATATGTATCTCAATATCTAAATACAGAAATAGATATATTTTATAGAGTGCAAGCCAACAAAAAAAGTTAAATAGATTGATTAAGAATTGAACGTCATTATATGCTATTTATTTATAATAGTTTTATTATTATATCTCTACAAAAGTCATATTATAAAGAAATTTAAAAAACTTAAAGACATTTATTTGTAGCTTCTATAGGCACAATAAAAGGTTTGTAGATAAAAAAATTAGTTTTTGATTTAAATAAATATTATTAATAAAATAAAAGGCTCTAAATTCTTCAAAAAATTATATATATATATATATATATATATATGTATAATTAGTATTAATGAATAATATTTAATACTATGAGCTTTTCCCATAAAATCGTATTGAGACTATACTTATTCTAGTTGGGGATTGATTTATCAATAATTTATTTTATATGATTTTTATATGTTTTTAGTTCTTTTACTTGCACTTTTATTTCAACTTTTACAATTATTTATCTTAAAAATAAACTTAATGCAATATCAGAATATATTAAAATATAATATATATAATATTTTTGTTAAAATCCATATTAGTTTTATGAATGATCTTGAATTTGTACTTGTATTAATACATTAATTAAATGTAACTATTTTTTAAAAAATAAAAAATATATTTGAAAATATTTTAAAAGTAATTTATTATTTATTCAGCTATTAGGATTTATATGCACTATTTTAAAATTTTCATGTTTTAATTAATATTCAAAAAAGTCTTGATTAAATGTAAAAAAAAATCCTTCATTGCTTAATTCAATTCACAAATTTGGCTCATATTAGCAAGATTAACTTACTTTATATGAATAGATTCTAATTTTATTTATATCTTTTATGAATACATTATTCATAATTGTTAAATAATATATATTTTTATATTTTTAACATTATTCATTATATTTAAAATAATATATATTTTTATATATAATTATGATAATATTTAATATATTATCTATATTTTAATTGTACAAATACTGAATTATATTTTTAAAAATGAACGCTTCTTTATTAATTTTTTTTATTATATCTATAGAAAAATTTCTTTTATTATCTTAGTAATTATTTTAAAATAGCAATTATAATGATGATTTTGAGTGTCTAAAAAAAGTGGTAGTGCAAAAATCCTTATCCAGATTTATTTAAATGTATTATATCCTGGTTTACAGTAATAAAAGGAGATGCATAGAAGACGAGACTTTGTACAGATGTGATTTTTTTGAATAGCATTAACAATTTGAACATATTATTAATATGTTCAAATTGTTAATGCTATTCAAAAAAATAATATGTTTTTGGTGTTCCAGATGAACAATCTTTCAAAATTTTCCAAAACTTCGTCAATAACTTTACACTTCTGCACTTGCATGCAATTTTATCCTCTTTGCATCTCATTTCACACTTGAATATTATGTCATAATGCTTGAATATTATGTCATATTTTGTGTGAATCATGCACTCTAATGCTGATTCATGCACTCCCAATCGGTTACTATTAAACCAAAGATTGAAATATTGATAAGGTAGGAAATATTTTCACCGACTATGTCATGTCCACACAAGCTCTTCTAGATCGGTTGGACTGGATATCGAAAGCTGATGTGTTTCCTGAAAGCCAAACTCTGAATATACCCACACCGCCTTTACTGTTTATGAAACGTCCAGTGCTGCAGGTGGATTACACATTACTTGGAGTATTGAGTATGATGGTTAAGGTGTGCGATTAGTTACGACAGCTGTTTGTGCAATGGGTTACAATGATGCCCTGAAGAGAGGCTTCTACAACAGGGATGATGTAACTGTGCGTCTTGCATTGAAGAGGCAGTACAATGATATGGTGCTCTAGTCCGAGACTTGTTGGAAGTCGAGCACTTAAAGTTCGGCTTCCGAGTTGCATTCACGCATGAATCACTGGCCGAAACTCCGCCAGTTTCTGAATCCTATGACTTCTTTCGGAGAACCAGGAAAAGGCAGGACGTTAGGTGATGCACCCACCTTTACACGCTCTGAA